GTGCCCGACTCCCCCTAGACGCCCACCATCCCTCCCCGCCCTCCTCCGGGGTTCCCTCCGCCTCCTCGTCCGTCTCACCGGCCTCGTGCCTGCCTTCCGGCCTCTCAGCGGTCAGTCCTACCGGAGGCCGACGGCACCCACTGCCGCCGCCGCCTCCCGCTCCTTCCTCCGCTTCCTCCCGGGCTCCTCCGGCTTCCCCTCACCCCTCAAAGTGGCCAGGAGGAAGCCAACTCACTCGCCGCTGGGCCTCCTCCCCGCTTCCCCGCCGCGACCAATGGGCCCCCGCCGCCGGGAGCCGCGCCCGCCCCCTGGCGGTGGAGGACCGAGCGGGCGCCCGGCCGGCGGGCGGGAAGGGCCGGCGAGCGGAGGGAGAGGTGGGCCCGGCGGCCCCCGCCCGGCGCTGAGCTATCTGGACTTGCCACGTGGGTGCGGCAGCAGCGGTGGTTAGCGGTGGTTGGCGGTGGTTGGCGACGGCTAGCACCCGAGAGTGGGAAAAAGGTGTCGCGCCCCCCTTCCCCTCATTCACACGCTTTCATAATCCTGACCTTAAAAGAATTTAAGATAACCAGCCCCATTCTAGAGAATCGATTCTATGAGATAGTCTTAATCAACGTAGCATCTTCGGCAATTACCTTTTGACGCCTTAAGAGCTAGCTAACCTATTGTGGAAAATGCTACCTGCCTGAAGCACTGGATCTCTGATAACCTTAAACATTTGGCCCAAGGAAAAAAATACGTGTATTTGCACGTAGTTTTTGTTTAAATTATTTAGCAACACAGCAGTTAGACACACATTTTTCCTACAATTGGGTTGCTAATTGGGAAGTCAGTACAAATCCCATTATATGAAAGCTGACCCGACAAAACAAAATTGTTTCATAGTTCATATCCACATCCCAGAACAATTAATAACTATTAAATATTATTAAGTAGAATGTCAGGACAATACATGGTTGTAGAAATTAAATTGCATTAAAAAAATAATAGGGTTTCACCATAGTTAAGTATTCTACCCAGCCTTAGCTTTTCTCCAAAAATATAAAACACAGAACCTAAATAATAGCTGTGAATTCTGCAGTTTGTATTCCATCGGAGGAAGCAAGAAATGCATTCTGAGAGCCTTCTTGTGCCCAGTACTTTGCTGGACCTTTGCTGGCCTTTGGGTATGTGTTCTCATTTAATGCTCACAACTTAGTCAAAATAGATATTATTTGCCTATTACTTTTAACAAATCAAAAAATCAAGACTCCAAAACTAAGTTTAAATAACTTGCTCAAAAGTACAGTGTAGTAAGCTGTGAAGTTGGAATTCCAGCCTAGGTCCATCTAGCTTCAAACAAATGAGGCACTTTATTTCTTTTATTCTTTTTTTCTTTTTTAAAGATTTATTTATCTGAGAGAGAGAGTAGGCAGAGGGGCAGAGGAAGAGGGAGAGAGAATCCTCAAGCAGACTCCCAGCTGAGTAGAGAGCCTGAATGAGGGCTCAATCCCAGGACCCTGAGATCACAACCTGAGCTGAAATTGAGAGTAAGGTGCCTAGCTGACTGAGCCACCCAGGCACCCCAAGGCACTTTGTTTCTTAGGGTACCTAAAACCACAATATTTACTCTACATGTATTTCCCCTAGTTTCCCCCTATCTCACTGAAAGAATTTATGAAGCCTCTCATATAGGGTGGTGAGGCCATATTTATGAAGTGGCTTTCTGATCTATAGCCGAATTGGCCTGTATAGAAATGACATATGCCATATTCTTATAGCACCACACTTGAAACAATTCGTGATCTGAAAATGTGTTTAATATGCTATGTGCCAATGGCCATAATATATAGGTTAGAACCCATCAGTAGGTAATGAAATTAATAATAGTGGGGCACAACCAACATTTTGTTGTTTTCAAATCACTTAAATAGAATAGGGCAAAAGCTTCAGAGTTCATAGCACAACGTGAGGATAAGTATTATTTCATGAAATATTTGTACAGTATTAAGTGTGAGTGAGTGGGTTACAGTGTCCTGCGTTACAATGTAAATTATATTTCTTCATAGGACTGCAGTGTTTGAAAGTTTAAGTTTAATGAGACTATAGAGAACAGAGACTTTGCAACTCCAGGAGGTTTAATCCAAACAGGTGTTGCTATGTTACATGATAATAAGCATTAATAATTTGTATTTTTACAACAAATATTTATTGTGTATTTGCTGTGTGCCAGGCTCCTTGCAAAGTAACTTAGCTATATTAACTCATTTAATCCTCACAACAATCTATAAATACAGAGGAGAAAATGTGAGAGAGAGAAAGGGAAAATTGCCCAAGATCCTATTGCTAGTACCTGGAAGAGCCAAGATTCAAACCCAGATGCTCAACCTCAAAGCCCATCCCGCCTTGTGTATACTTAGAAAGAAAAGTTCATTTTCTCTTTGATGGTTGCAAAGATTTATATAGAACTCTAACATACTACACTATGTCCCATATAAGGATTACATAATATTGTTAAATATAAAACTTGATGAAAAGCCTCAGAATTTTAACTGGACCCGTTCTCAAGCAGAATATTCCATTTGGCATCAGTTTCCCATACTTGCTCTAGTAACTTGTCTGCAAGTGTGGTTACCAACAATTCCTCCAATCCCTGCAAATTCATGTCACTTTCTCCATCAAGGGCTAGGATCTGTATTCCCTGCTCTTGAAACTAGGCTGGCCCTGGGACATTTTTTGATCCACAGAATGCCCTGGAAGTGATGCTGTGTGACTTCTGAGCCTTGAAGCTTCCATTTTCACTGACTTGGGATCCAATCAACATATAAAGAAACTTGGATGATGCTGCTAGATGAGGAGAAACTACACAGGGAGGAACTGAGACCTAGTTAGGTTCAAACCATCCCAGACACCCTACCTGAGTTCCCAGGTGTTTGAGTGAAGTCCCTTTACACGTTCCAGCCCCAGCTAAGCTCCTAGCCGAATGTATCACATGAGTGACCCCAGACAGTACCACCTGGGAACCTCCTAGTTAAAACCAGCCAGCCCCACAGAATCCTGAGAAATAATTGTTATTGTTTTAAGTTGCTAAATCTTGTGGTAATTTTTTACATAGCAATAGATAACTGAAACACGGAAAGAAAAGTTTGTTTATAAAAAAAAGAAAAAGCTGATCAGCTCTGGGAGTAAGGTTACTTTAAAATATTAAAGCATGTTTATTGGATCATAAAGTCAATCCCATAGAGATACGGCCAGAAACTTGCCTAGCTTTCTGAAAATATCAGGGAAAAAAGAAGCAGAGGTAGAATAATAAAAACAAAAGTAGAAGCGTCAAATCGGATACCTATACTGGGTAAAACACCACCCCCAGGTGTGATTTAAAAACTGTTGCTCAGAATGTTCTCAGCAGTGTGCATTCGGAACTCTCAAACGTCATCCAGCCTGTTGGTATAGGTCTCAGGACACTAATGTGACTCCTCTCATCCCACCAACTCCTTTCCTGACAAGCCAGACCAGTCATCAGTTGAACCAAGTTGAGTCCTAGGTGTCTACGTAGACTTCAAATTTCCCAAATTCTCTTTTTTCACAGCCTTTGTTGGCCAAGTGAGCTAGCTAGACCTTTGCTAAATGCCTCACCCTAAATTTCCCTCCTTTCCTCTCACCCTGTGTTTTTGCCAAGGATAGGCTCCATCCCAGGTCCATGTTCCCAGGCCTATCCCCACTCTTACTGTCTTTTATGTTGGGGCCCTAACATTTCTCTTACTTCACCGAAGTTGTTACAAGAAGTGTAATGGATCACCAAAGAAAGACCTGGTGATGACGCAGTTGAGTACCTGAACTCAAACTCAATTATGCAATAAAGGTTTTCTTCTCAGTATCCCTGAGACTATCATATAATTGTTTTTGTATCTTAAATAGTAGACTGTACAAGGATATTGTGTGCAGGGGTGCATCAGTGAAAGAGAAGTCTAAGAGTTATGGTGAAGGACTAGGTCTGTGGAGGAAAAAATCCTCCACATTCCCTTCAGTGCTAGCAGCCCCAAATCAGCTTTGGAACCAGTTAGGGGTTCAAAGCTTGGGGGTCACCATGACCCACTTTAACATGCTCTTTTTTGGTTCAGCTAAAACATAACCTTTTTTATTTGCTAATAGTTTTATTTCTCAATTTTCTAGAAACCTATAAGGGCAAAATAGTAAAGTTTAAAAAAGCTGGAATACCCACAGATTTCACAGCACATTTGATACATTTACCATTTTAACACACGTTTTTACCATTTTAATCATTTTTTGAGTGCACAGTCCAGTGGTATTAAGTACATTCACATTTTTGTGTGACCAACACTACCATCCATCTCCAGAACTCTTTTCATCTTGAAAAATTTAAGCTCTGTGCTTATTAAACAATAATTCCCAATTCCACGGTCCCTCCAGTCCATGACATCTACCATTCTACTTTCTCTTTCTATGAGTTTGACTTTAGATACCTCATATGAGCAAAATAGTATAGTTTAAAAGCTGGAACACTCATAGATTTCATGACACCATATTTGATACATAAGCAATACCGTCTATACAAAATAAGGGGGTTTTTAAATTATAAAACATATGTAAGATACAATGAAATCCTATTATCACACATGTATCTGCATAAAGAAAGACTCTAGTTTTCCATCTATTACTACTTTTCTACCAACATACAAGAAAATTCTAGATACCATAAAAATTTGGATTTTTAAAATATCTTTTTGATTCTACTCTCTGGGAGATTCTGGTTTGGAGTAAATCTTTTATTTTATTTTATTATGTTAGGTTAATCACCATACATTACATCATTAGTTTTTGATGTAGTGTTCCATGATTCATTGTTTGCATATAACACCCAGTACGTGCCCTCCTTAATACCTATCACCAGGCTAACCCATCTTCCCACCCCATCCCCTCTAGAACCCTGTTTGTTTCTCAGAGTCCATAGTCTGTCATGGTTAGTCTGTCATGGTTCGTCTCCCCCTCCGATATCCACCCCCTTCATTTTTCCCTTCCTACTATCTTCTTTTTTTTTTTTTTAACATATAATGTATTATTTGTTTCAGAGGTACAGATCTATGATTCAACAGTCTTACACAATTCACAGCACTCACCATAGCACATACCCTCCCCAATGTCTATCACCCAGCCACCCCGTCCCTCCCACCCCCCAGCACTCCAGCAACCCTCTTAGATCTTTCAGTGTTGCAAAATTTGGCATTTTGTCTTGGTGATAAAATATACTGAATAGGGTAACCCACATCTAAA